AGAGTTAATTATGCAACATTCAATTTATACAACTTTATAATAAAAAAATATATGTAACAAAAATATATCTTGCAAAAAAAGTGACACAAGTTGTAATTTTTCGTATTCTATATTATGTGCGAAATGTTTAATATACTTCAGCTTTCTCTTAGAAAAAATGATACAAGTTGAAATTTGAAATAAACAACTTTTTATTAGTTTTATGTCTAATATTGCCGAAATAATTAATTTAAAAATACGCAGTTTTCTCTTTCCTACTTCTGAACAATATTATATTTTATCATTTGTGTCAATTTTCTTGTGGAGATGCTATATGTATGTTTAACTAACCTGAGTTATTAAAATTTCACCGAGAGCGCAATATAGGCACATATGTGCAAACAAATTTATAACGACGGAGAAGAAATATATTAAATGTGTGATCGACATATCATTTCCTTTATCAAATAGCTAATTAATTTATAAAATGAATGAAAAAAATTAATTTTTTTAATAACATTAATTTAGTATTTTATAATAACATTACATAGATATAGTAACTTTTTATTTAAATTAAATATCTGTTAATTTAATATTAATATATCTTTTACTAAGTATTATTATTAATTTAAACAAACTTCTTTAAATAAGTTCTTATTCAAACATTTAAATACTTACACTGATCATCCGAAATCCGAAGAATGCGAAGAGAATTGCATGATATATAAATAAGGAGAGAAGTATTATATTATATGTATCTTCAATAACATCAATAGTTCTATTAAAAGATATTTAATGTACTAATATATTTTACGACACGTTTTACATGAATTCTGCTTCTATACTCATATATTTTCTTATAAGTAACATACCTAAGTAAACGATTATGATTTGCTATGCAACATTTTAGCATTTTGTGATAATTCATGTACTTATTTAAATGTGATAAACGATTTTTTAGAATTTCTAATTGGCCGCATACGTGAAAAATTAAGAGACTAAGAAAATTGTCTATTCCAGAATAGGCTATCATGGCAATTGCTGCGTATATGACTTGACTAATAAATGTCAGTTCGTAGTGCGGCCTTTTTGTTATATCATAAATGTAATGAGTTTGTACTGGCAATA